TATTTGTTTCTAGGAGAATTAGTATAGCTTAAAATTTTAAGAACTTTTAACATGTCAGGATTGTGTGATGGAAACTTTTGAATAAAGTACACAGCCAACTATAACATATAGGCCTTACTACTTTACAATCCAGGGTTGTAGGAGGAGAGGAAGGCAGTCTTAAAATATCGAATTTTTGTGTGACTAAAAGGTTTTTTTTTTTAAATAAAATTTGCTACATAAATAGTGAAACTTTACTTTTCCCATTATGGGCAAACTCCATATCTCACATCTGACACATATGTGAAAGTTGTAGCATGAATTGACATTTCACATTTCCATGGTTGATAAATTAATTTTTGATTTCTTTAATTGTGTGAGCCCTTCAGCCCAATTTAAATAATGCCCAGAGGAGGTATACTACATGTACCAATTAATCTTTTTCTTTATGTAATAGAAGGTAAATTCAAGGCCTTGAAGATGGAATTCTCTCTTCCTCCATCCACTTATGCTACCATGGCAATTAGAGAAGTGCTAAAAATGGACACAAGCATAAAAAAACAGACACAACTGAATACTATATGGCTACGCTGAACAAATGGTCTAAAGTCATGTAAAGATTTTAAGATGTAAAAGTGTTTTCATATTTACTTGTTCTGTGCAAACCCTAGTTTTGATTTTGAAGATTTGTAGTAAAAGATTTGTATTTTTTTAAGTTGTTTTTATTAGCTTCAATGATTATATGCAAAATGGTGTTAGTAAAAATAATAAAAATATTTGATTGGGTTTTTTTAAATGATCTTAGTAAATAAGGTGGAAAACCACATCTTAAGAAAAAATGGGCTTAGGACAGCAATTCCAGATCTTCAGTAATTGCCTTTCCAGAAGTACAGTGAGTATTCAACATGCTTTCATGAATTCAGCACAGGATAAAATTTCTTGCAAGTGTGCTCACATTACAGATCAGGAATGCTAATTAGAGTAAGTTAGGCGATGAATATTTATATTAAAGGAGTACATTTATGTCGCCTTAGAAGGCCAATAGCTTTTGCACTGATGTGGTAGAGGATTCTATTGGCAGAATTTTTCATGCCTTTTATGTGATATAAACATGTACATCTGTTTTTATTAGTTGAACTGTACATTTTATTATGAAAATGTTTATGTGCATTTTCCCCATCTTTACTATTGCCTGTACCAAAGAACAGGTAATGAAAACAAGTTAACCAAAAAGCCCAGATGAGAGCTTGTATCAACAACTAACTCCTTTGCACCAGCATATTTAGTGTTTCCATTGCTGGCAATGGATGAGCAAGGTCAATCTGTATCATGGCATGAAAGGATTAAAAAGCCATTCGAAAACAATTGACAGCAGTTAGGTTGCATTTTGACTTTATAATTTCTAAAACCAAACAAATAAGAAACCTGTTTGTGCTGCTTGTGTTAATAAATTATGTTAAATATGAGACACTTTGCACTGTCATTTTTATAAAAAATTGAATAGGGTTTTGCATACCAACAATATGAAAATTTCAGTATCTCACTTTTAGAAAATAGGCAGTGTTGCCACCCACATATCCCAAACGAACCTGCTTCAATACAGAAATAAAAACCCCTCTGATCACAAACCTCTAGTTATCACCTACCACCTGCCACTGGAATCCATATGGGGTATCATTAAAGAAATATTTCCTGAACTGCCTCTTCTGGCCTTCAAATAACCCCCTAACCTCTCCAAGCTCATCATCAGAAACAAGCTCCCCACAAATCAGGATACACCAACTCAAAAGCACTAGACCCTAACAGAGCAACAGATTCAAACCCTGCAGACATATCTCCACTGCTACAATGGTCAACATCCTCCACAACACACCTTTCAAGATCTATGGGTCCTACATATGCCTGTCACAACATGGGGTGTACCTCATCCTTTGCACTAAATGCCCTAATAGAAATATGTAGGTCAGTGGGTTTCAACCGATTGGGTGACATATGCAGCCGTTTTATGTGGGCCCCATCCATGCCATCAATATGCTACCTGTATGGCCCTGAGGATGTCACATGGGCTGCAGCTGTGTGCTGATTGGGCCACAAGCAGCCCATGGGCCTTGGGTTGAGAACCACTGATGTAGGTGAAATGAGAAAATCACTACGCTCTTGAATGAAGTCAAACAAGAAAATGATAAAGACAAAAACACCACATCACCTGTAGGTGAACACTTTTCACAAAAAAATCACTCTATATCTCACCTATCAGTCCTCACCTCAAAGGAAACCTGCACAAGACACTCAAAAGATAAGCCTGAGAGCTTAAAGTCATAATTTTGCTAGACAGTAAAAATCATGGACTGAATAGAGACACGAGTTAGGAATAGAATCAACTAAGTCTCTGTCCTCTGATGCTATGCAATATTTCAATTGCTTTCAATTGGCCATTCTTGTATGTAGGGGGAGTACTTTACCTTAATGCTGTTTTCCAGTTTTGTTGAGTTATACAGTTACAGGTTTACAATGCAAACACTCAATATACATTTATACCCTGGGTTATAGAGATTATAAATTAGATTAATATATGCAGCATCCTACAAGCATTTTATAAAGTCTAAACAGCATCTGAGGATGGTAACACATGAGTAAACAAGCCTGTTTCCAGCTATGCAATTGTAACTGTTCAGTGAGGCCTGGGGCCTTGGCATGAGCTGGTACCTGATCTGCCAGCATGTCAGTACCTGTAAAAATTAATATAAACATTTTTTTTCTTCCTCTTAGGGGTGTAAGGAGCATTGACTCTGCTCATATATCTCAGCCTGTCTTGAAATATGTTTTTTATTGATGCAGAAATTTAGGTAATGCATTTGATTCATATTTATATGCCAGTTTAGGCTTTATACCAGGGGTAGGCAACCTATGGCACAGGTGCCGAAGGCGGCACGTGAGCTGATTTTCAGTGGCACTCACACTGCCCGGGTCCTGGCCACTGGTCCGGGGGGCTCTGCATTTTAATTTAATTTTAAATGAAGCTTCTTAAACATTTTGAAATCTTATTTACTTTACATACAACAATAGTTTAGTTCTATATTATAGACTTATAGAAAGAGACCTTCTAAAAAGGTTAAAATGTATGACTGGCACGCGAAACCTTAAATTAGAGTGAATGAATGAAGACCCGGCACACTACTTCTGAAAGGTTCCGGACCACTGCTTTATACCATCAGTGTGTAGATGTGTTATGACAAATATTCTTGACCTAAATTGGTCACTGGAAAATTAACTGTCAGCTTTATATTGATACTTTTTTTCTCTCTCTCTCAGGAAAGACCATTTTGTTTCTTCAATTTTTTTCAGATCAGGAGATCATTAAAATAATAAATGCATTTTTAAAATGTGATAGCTTATGAGTTTATTTCATTATCTTCAGTCATATTTATCCCATTCTGCTACTTTACATATATTAATGACAACATTTAAAAGTATGGTTGTCTAAAGTTAAGCATCCTAAGTAGCCTGATTTCTCAGTTGCTGGTTACCCAGAATTGCCTTTGTAGACAATGGGAAATGAGGTAACTCTGCCACTATTGATCCAGCCAAACTGAAAATAGATCTATTATGCTAGTCCTGTACAAATAATAGTAAACAAATCTAAATCCGAAATAAGTATTTAAAATATAGGGCATTAATCTGTCCTAGACTAAATTATTAGAGGGCAGATTCTCCACCCTGCCCATTTTTTTCATTGTGTCGTGGACAGGCTCCAGAAGACTCTTGCAGCTCTCTTAACCTCAGCAGTGGAGCAGTTTAATTTACAACTGTGGTGAAACAGGCATATTGGGGCTCCACTTCACGCACCCCCTTCCTTCACTTGTTAAGCTGACTCTGCCCTCTGCATGAGAACCATCTGCTAGCATTCTCCATATACTCCCTCCAGCCATTCTGAGGCCACTTTGTGACACTTCCACCATGCACAGTGGCCGCAATGAACTGGAGAAACTGAGTCTTAAAACTTTCAGCTATTTTCTGCTTGTAAAGGGCCCATATACCATGGTCTCTTGCTGTTTTACCTCTTTCTGGAACCTGTTTTTTCCCTCCTCCCCCACCTATTGTTGCATTTTGATGTGCTGGATCTGGAGGTGGTGCAGATCCTTTTAGATGCCAGCTGAGTTCCTTGGGTCTTATTTTTGGCTCCTCTGTGTGCCAAGTCCCCTGTGGTAAATATAGAGAACCCAGCTGTGCCTCAGTTTCCTGCATCTGTAATAATAGTGCTCTGCCCTTGCACGGAGAATTGCACCCACCCTTTTCTGAAAACATAAGAATGGCTATACTGGGTCCATCTAGCTCAGTGTCCTGTCTTCCAACAAGGCCTGTGCCTGATCCTTCAAAGGGAATGACCAGAACAGGGCAATTTATTGAGTGATCCAGCCCATCATTTAGTCCCAACTTTTGGCACTCAGAGGTTTATAGGTTTCAGAGTAGCAGCCGTGGTAGTCTGTATCTGCAAAAAAACCAGGAGTACTTGTAGCACCTTAGAGACTAACAAATTTATTAGAGCATAAGCTTTCGCGGGCTACAGCCCACTTCTTCGGATGCAGAGGTTTATAGACACCCAGAGCATGGGGATGTGCCCCTGACCATCTTGGCTAATAGCCACTGATGTACCTATCCTGCATAAACTTACCTATTGTTTGTGGTGAGCTGGAGCCGGGAACCGGTTGTTAAATGTAGAAGCCCTTTTAGAACCGGTTGTCCCGATTCTAAAAGGGCTTTTAAATTTAACAAAATGTCTGGCAGCTCCCTGCCCCCAGCCCCAGCCCCAGCTCACCTAGCTCCGCCTCCTCCCCCTCCCCTGCTTCGGGGCTTCCTGCAGGTGGGCGGGGTTGGGGCGCGAGGAGGGCTCTAGGCACCGCACGGCGCTCCCCGACTCCAGCCGCGCAGAAACAACCTTTAGCCGCGCGCATGCGCTTTCTTCTGTGGTAGGGATGGCATCACGTGATCCTGATGGGTGGGACAGAGCCGAGGGTACGTTACAGTCTCCCTCTTTCCTCCCACTTCTCGCGGGACTCGGAGCAACTTCGGGATTTTCCGCTGCGCTGGGCTGGCAGGTGGCGGAGCTGAGGGGGCGGGGCAGAGCCCCCGGCGCTCGGCCGTGGGTGAATAATTCGTGTCCGTTCCTGCGGTAACGGTAAGCGGCCTCGTTCAGCCCAGGCCGGCGTGTGAGGAGCCTCAGCTCGCGGCAGGCGAAGCGAGGTGCGGGGGCCTACCAAGGAGAGGGGCTGGCTGCTAGGTGCCATGGCAACGCTAACAGCGTGTGGGGCCTAGGCGACTGCGGCAGGGCAGGCTGAGGAGACCAGCCTGCTGCTGGCCGCGGAGATCTGTTCCCCCATCTGCCCCGCTCTGTGGTGGGGGCTGAGGGGTGAGCAACCGCCTCGCCTGCTGCAGGGGGAGGAGCAGCTCCCCCCCAGGTGAGCAGTAGGTGGGGAGATAGTGGTCCCCACGGATGCTGTGGGCTGTCTTGGGTAGCCAACTGTCTAATTGCATAAACCCAAACATCCTGCCCCTCCCCAAGGCCACATCCCTGCCCTACCCCCACCCACTCCAGCGTCCCACCTTCTTCCTCACCTTCACTGGGCTGGGGCTGGGGCTGGGGTGTGGAAGGAGGCTGGGGCGGAGTGTTGGGGGGGTGCAGACTGTGGGAAGGAGTTTGGGTACAGGAGGGGGCTCAGGGCTGGGGTGCGGGCTGTGAGAGGGAGTTTGGGTGTAGGAGGGTGCTGGGGCAGGGGGTTGCGGTGCGGGAGGGGTACAGGCTCTGGCTGGGCGGCGTTTACCTCCTGGAAGCGCCAGCCTGTCCGGCAGTGGCTCCTAGGCTCACGGGTGGCCAGGCGGCTCTGTGGGCTGCTCCTACGTGCAAGCACCGCCCCTGTAGTTCCCATTGGTCGCGGTCCCCCATTCCTGGCAATGGGTGCTGCGGAGTCAGTGCTGGGGAGGGGGAGGGGGAGACCCCCGTGGCCGCACCTCCTTCTAGGAGCCGCTGCTGGACATGTTGCTGCTTCTGGGAGTGGCTTTAGCCCTGCTGCAACGCTGGACTTTAGCTGCCTAAAATCTCCCGAATTGGCTTCAGTAGCCTCGGAGATTGAGCCCATTTCTGGGAGACTCCCAGCCAAACAGGGAGGGTTGGCAACCCTACAGGTGGCATGGCACATCCTGATTGTGCTTGAACTTCTCTGCTAGCAATAGGTTGTTATGACTTGCTAAGGGCTTGTCTAAGTTGGGTTGCTCAAGGGTGTAAAAAAAACGCCTCTCCCTCCGAGCAACGTAACTTACATTGACTTAAAGCAGTGTCAGCAATGCCCTATGTTGACAGGAGAGTATCTCCAGTAGACATAGCTTCTGCCTCTCATTGAAGTGGAGTAATTAAGTTGACAGCTGATTTAGCACGTCTTCACCACACATGCTAAATCGACTGCAGTGGTGGCCAGTTTAGCGTGGTAGTGAAGACAAGCCCTGAGACTGGCCTATGTTGCTTAGCTCAACATCATACATTGTACACTAGGACAGTGCTTCTCAACCAGGGGTCTGGAGCCCACTGGGGGCTGCAAGTAGGTTTCAGGGGGTCCGCCAAGCAGGGCTGGCATTAGACCTGCTGGGGCCCAGTGCAGAAAGCCAAAGCCCTACCACTTGGGGCGGAAGCCCAGGGCTCCAAATCTCGCCACCCGGGGCTGAAGCCTGAGCAACTTAGCTTCGCAAGGCCCTTGTGGCATGGAGTGCTGGGCAGTTGCACTGCTTGTTATCCCTTAATGCTGGCCCTGGCTTTTATATGCAGAAAAACAGTTGTGGCACAGGTGGGCTGTGGAGTTTTTCTAGCATTGGGGGGAGGGATTGGGGGCTCAGAAAGAAAAAGGTTGAGAACCTCTGCACTAGGGGAGTGTAAATACCCTAGGCCTCATAGTCCTGAGTCCAGAAGACAGTGCTTTCTTTGGCCTGGTCCAAGATGGTGACATTTTGTTTTGAGTGAAAGGTGCACTTCTTCGACTTACTTTTACTATTATGCCCATAGCACAGGGTGGTGGTGGTGTTGTAGTTTTATATGTATTATTTAATGTCTACTAGCCCTAGTCATGGACCTGGCTGCTATTATGCTAGGTGTTACACAAATGCAGAATAAAAAGATAGACCCATGGCTTTTGGGGGAAGGGATTTTAAGTATAAGATAAACAGTAGATGGACAGGGGACTGCAAGGAAACATTGAGACAGTATTGGTCAGCATGATAGGCATTGGTCTCAACAGACCAGCAGCCTAACAGTGGTCAATTTTTTTATAGTCCTCATAGCAGGTGAGAGTTTGAAGGAGAATAAATAGTTTTGCAGATGTTTGTCTATGTACAATAAAATATTTTTAAAAAACACAATTTCTCCTTGGAGGCCCACCACATATGACAGATGTTAGTCATGACAGACATTAGTCATGGTGCTCAGTGCACTTCTGAAAGATGCTCAGATAGTTTGGTGATAAGGGCCATATGAGAGCATGAATAGAATATTTACTGTAACTCAGTTTCTTAAGCCAGTAGTTTATTAATAATCCTTCCCTAAAGAAAAAAATCCTGTCTCTTGGAGAGTCTTTATGTGTAGCATAGAACCCCTTTCATTTTTGATGTGGGCAACAAGCAATGAAGGTGCAAATCTCTTAATAAATTACTAATAGATTCATAAAAAGGGGATACTACCTTGAAATGTAGTTCATTGGAAAAAAATGTAAGGAATGTCAGTTCCTACACCTTCCTTTGATTTACCTGCCAATTTTTATGGTGTTACAAGTACATTTTCCTACTTTTAAAAGGTTTTTCTCTTTTGCCTGTTGCTGTGTGCGGGACCCACACATAAAAGGAAACAAGAAATAATTGAATACACAGAACACTGTCAACTACACAAGGTAAACTGGAAAGAGATATTTCGTTAATCTCTTTCATGTGTTTGTTATAAAAAGAGTAAAAATTTTCAAACTGAAATAATTTCTTAAATTGGTAGTGTTCCTTTAACTGCTTGTTCATATAGTTTTAAATCTCCTTTTTGATGTTGGAATGATAACTTGCTTCAGAGTTCAGATAAAGTTTTAAAAGCATGTTAATGCATTTAAAACTTTATTTTAATTTTTGAAGATGGTTGGATCGGGGAGTTGGATCTTAATCTGATCAAACACTTAACTAATTTGATTTTATTTTCTTCACATATCTATATCCTCCCAGTTCCTGACTTTCCTGGCCACTGACAAAGCTGTAGGCCAGGAGGTGCTGCTTCCAAAGCAAAGATTTAAGATGATCAGCTCATTTCAGCACATTTGATAATTTATGGGAATTTTCTTCTTTTGTATGTCTCTGAAATGCTGTCTGTCAACACATCATGTGCTGCTTTGTGTGCAGTTTGCCACTGTATACTTTGCTAGTGATGGCATACCTGCCATTTAAAAGTGCTGGAGCCTTTTTGCTACCTGTAGGGCTGAGGCAAGTCCTCTCTACATTTTCAAGTATTTTTATATATACCATCTAGCACAGACATAAAAACATTGAATTAGTTTTAGAAAAATGTATGGTAGTGGAAATGAAAGCCGACTGACTTCTCTGGGTAGCAGACATGTTTCAGTTCTGTTGAGTGATGGGCACGATGTCCCCAGCAGAGTGTATAATAGCGTGTCATACTTTGCATAAGTAGGCCTTGGTTCTCCAAAGGCTTATGCATGTGGCTATCTTTATGCATGTGAGTAGTTGAATGGAACATAGTATTTTCAGTTGCCCCATTCCACATGAAGGTCCATGGTAGTTGATAGTGCTGTGTGGGTCGTGGCTAACTACAGACTCTTTAACTCAGTTCTGCAGGTGATGAAAACATGGCAGCCATTAATGTTGGAAGGGAACAAGTCACTAGAGACCCAGATCGCTGTGACATCCCTTACTATGTAGCTGAATTTGTTGAAAGAGAAGTTGGAACTGACCTTAATTGTCTAAGAAAACTTGGCAAACTTATAGAGGAGCTATCAGAAAATAAAAAGCAATTAGAGGAACAGGTAAGCATTCTGTTAGTTATTTCTCAACTCCTTGAAATATTAAAAATGTACCACCAATTGCATGCATCTAATTACATCAGCACATTTTGATAACATCCTACACAATGTTTTAAGCAAAGCTGTCATTTTCTGATTTTCTGTTATGCTTTACTATGCACGGAGATCTGTAAAAGATCACATTTGTTTAATCATTGAAAGAGGGGTCTTAGTACTTGTATGTCAGATGTATAACTCCTCCCTAAATACAGGTACTTACAGTTTCATCAGAAGTCCCCAAAAGAATTCAGAATGCCTTAAAGAATGCGGAGGATTCTAAGAAGTCTCTTAGTCAGCTCCTGGAGGAAGAAACTGTTTTATTTGATTCAATTAATAGCCACCTATTGACAGCCCAGCCATGGATGGAGGATCTTGGTGTACTGATTAGTCAAATAGAAGAAGTTGAACGACACCTTGCTTATCTAAAATGGATTTCACAAATAGAAGAGTTAAGGTAAAATAGGCCCACCTGGACTCTAAGTATCTTTTTCCTGCAGTCTAGTTTAGGGCTTAGGTGGTAATAAACAAAATTGAGACATTTTTGGAGTTGTAAATCTATATTTTTAAATGCAAACAGTTATAACCCTTGTTAATTCACCTACTGACTAAAAATTCATACCTAATTTTGATCTGCCATTGCTTTCATTTGCAACTAAATTTGGTGATTACTATATTTTGGATATGGGGATAAAAGGGATCGTAGCTTACCATGTAATCTGAAAGATGCACCTCTAATAGCGTTTGTCAGCATTAGATAGCGAAGATACAGGAATATTTTTGACACATAACTGTACAGAGTCTAATACTGAAAGAAAGTGTTCAAGCAGAAAAAGATGCATTTGCATTATGTAGGTTGACATCTCTTTATTTTTATCGTTTTGGTGAGAATAAAATATTTATCTAAAACGTTATTTAAATGAGTTGCACTGCAGATTTGAAAACACTTAATTTCTCATCAAGAGCTATCCTCTTGTTCTTCAGTAATGCACCCTCAACATAGGTAGCAAGAGGCATGGACCAGAAATCTAGGTATCTCAGGTAGCAGTGCACAGCACTAACTGCAAGGTCACCTAGCTGCCGACCTGGAAAATATTTTATATTAGCCCCCCCCCCCAATTGCTTTATTCACTTTCATTATACAGTAAGACAGGTAAATAATGAACTATTCTCAGTGTTGCTAAAAATTGCCTCAGTGCATTCTAGTCATGATTTTGCTTTATATATTTTATAGTAATAATATTCAGCAGTATCTCATGACCAACAATGTGCCAGAGGCAGCTACTACTCTGGCATCCATGGCAGAATTGGATATTAAGCTTCAGGAGTCGTCTTGTTCTCATCTTCTTACTTTTGTGAGGTCTACTGTTAAGTTCTGGCATAAAATTCTTAAGGACAAACTGTCAAGGTAGGAAATGCACCATAGTTATTTCATCTTTGCATTGTATCGTTGATTCATGTTGATGTATATGTTTTCTATTACAGTGATTTTGAGGAAATATTAACTCACCTTCATTGGCCATTTGTTGGGCCACCACAGTCTCAGGTTTTTGGCCTTGCTGCACCGGCTAATGTTCCAGAAATATATAATAATTTGGAGACTCTGTTTTCTCAGCTTCTGAAATTGCAAACATCGTATCCTTTTTGAATTCATGTCTTATATTCACAGGGAATTTCAGTAAGAATAATGAACAAACTTAAGAGATGCACACTCCAAAGAAGAAATGTGTGATAGTCATCCAGTGTACTGATTATTTTAAATCATTGTTAAGCTGGACATTTCTCACTAAGCGTGAAGTAGGTTTGCGGGTTTAGTATTTCTAGGTTACTTGTTTTATTAAAAGAAAAAAATTAAGTGCCCAGTTAACAATACTAGAAATTGTTTGCCAATGGAAAAAGTGTAGCTTTGGCAGCAGCAATGCTGTGCCAACCACGATTCTAGTGGACTCACATCTGGGGAAGTGAGGAAGATAGTTTAACCTTCATGCTATTCAGTCCTTGGGCCCTCTGGCAAGATTACCCACAAAAGTGAAAATTGTGGTGGTACATTTGCCTGTTCCCTGGAACTGGACTGAGACCACTAATATTTTTCACATAAGCCATTGAGCAGTCCTCAGATGGTGGTAACAGCTTTTGATCTCTGCCAGTTTGGGTCACATATAAATCAGAGACTAAGAAGCTCTTGTTTTGCATTACTAATAATCTGAGTTTCTGCTTCTCCATTTCAGTATAGTAATGACAAGTAAGTATGTGTGTGTGTGTGTGTCTATGGGAGGATAGGACAACCCACATTTGTCTTGGCAGTCCTGACTAGAGGTGTATTTTTTTTTTTGTAAACCAAATTGACTGACTGCTGCTATCACAAATCAGTCGTAATTAGCCTGTTATATTAAACACAAGTTTAATGTTGAAGTATTCTACATATAGAAATAGTTTTCATTGCAGGTTTTTGATCATTTTATAGTATGTGTAGTGACTGCAGTAAAGAAAGGGGACTATAGAAATGGAATGTAACATTTCTTAGCTGTCTCAAGTTATGATGTTGAGAATTCAGTACTTCTATAACAATGATCTGCCAATAAAATATTTTACCTTTGACTCTTAAACCTTAGAGATGAATTACTAACTAAACCAAAACAACTGCCAGAGAAGTATTCTCTGCCTCCCTCACCACCTATTATCCTTCCAATGCAAATCATGCTGAACTCTCTTCAGAAAAGATTCAAGTATCATTTTACTGGGAATAGACAAACTAATGTTTTAAGCAAGGTATGGGGAAAACATTTCTTGATTTACTTTTAATTGCAGTACTTAAAAAAACCAACCCTTTTTATATAAAACATACAGTGCTGTAGTAAAGTTGTGGCCCAAATATTGCTCTCCGCATGGAGGACCTTGGGCTTGTATGTGTATGGAGGTGGAAAAAACACTTGAAGACCCTCCACAAGTCCTACCCCCTGCTTGGCAAAGTGCTGCACTGCAGAGATTCCCTGGCAATGGGATATTCCTCCATTGCACCTGCCAAATCCCTTTGTTGGGGGGGGCGGGGGGCACTGAAGCCGGTCCTATTGCAGCCTTGGGTAGACTCCACAGCCTGAGAAGGATGGATTCATTTCTCTTTGTCCCTATGGAAAATCCCTTTTACCAGTCCTGGCTACTTAAGTTTGTGTGTAAAAGGGAGTGAATTTGGTCATGTGATAGCATTTTTATTATTCCTATATTTACAGGTGTTAGACTCTGCATTAAAATAGGCTCTTGGTTTAAAATCTAACTGACAATGGCTTGGGACTATAATTAGTTTTTGGCTTTAATTTAATTTAAATAAAAAAAAACCAAAAAACTTACATTAAATTGCAGATGTCTAATCCTCCCCTCCCCCCAAATGTGGAAATGTGTGTGTGTGTGTGCGCGCGCACATTAAATGCCCTCAAAGTTTGGTGGCTTTCATCGGGGGTTAAAATACAGGTGCATTTTTATAAGAATGTTTCCTTTCTTTTTGTTCCAATACAACTGCGTCAGAGTCCGAAAAGTTGATATTTAGCATGTATATAAACTGCTTGTAGTAACAAAGTTTTTTTAAGGTTAATCTGTGTGGTCGCATGTAACATTTTTGGGTAAACTAAATACATTTCACCTTGGCATTAGTTCCCAAACTATTTCACTGGTGGTCTGTGAAGGGCTAGTTGCATTTTTTAATTACTTCTACGGGGTTTTCATTACTTCTACTGGAAACTAGGAGGAGCCACCAGCATAGCTATTTCCAGTAGGGGAGGATGCTACGTAAAAGGATGATGAGGGCATCTGGCCTCTCAATCAGCTTCATTCTCAGTGGTGTGTCCTTTCCCTATCAGCCAGAAGAGGCATATGCAGTGGAGAGGGAGAGGAGACAGTGGGTGTGGTGACAGAGCAATATGTGTAGGAAAGAGAATAATAGAGCAAATGGAAGGAGAGATAAATGAAGAACAAAAGTAGGCAGCTTCTTTCCTTTTTTCAAAAAAGAGAGAACACTTATTGCATTAAAGATAGTACAAGAACACAAATGGTTCTCTGATGTTAATTTGCCAAGTAAATAATTGCTTAGTTGCCATAGGGATGTTATGTGATCACAAATACAGAGAAGGTCCACGATTTAAAAAAATAATAAAATTCTTTTTTTGAGGGCTTTTGACCTACTGGGACAGAAAAGACAATGCTTTAAATTGAAAGCAATATATGTCCTCCATTTTTCCTCCCTTCCCACCCGAAGCCAACCCCCCAACCCAGGTTTTAAATGTTGCTGTTGTTGTAAAATAAACTGCTCTAAATTGCAAAATCCAATTTAAAGTTGGCATTCGTTAACCTCCCCCCCCCCCCAATCGCTTTTTCTGGTCATGCTTTGTATTCTTGCTACACTTATAAATAGCTTATAAAGAG